AGTACAAAATCTAACGTCCGGAGAAAACTCGGGTACGCCCATCAGAGCCATCTACAACCCATAAACCCAAGTTCCTAAAGCCTGACAAGAGTAAGAGTGTACGGCTCGGCAAAATGAAGAAAGCAATACCATGGGTACAGCAAATTCCTTGTTGTTTAGGGTACCAGATTTATCCAGGGTACCCCTGTGTATTCTCAGAAAACCCATTTCGAGGGCACCGCTTTACATAATTACATAAATACATACGTATTTACATGTATATGTATTTATGCATGTGCGCGCTCCAATAATTATTGGCCTAAAAACCATAAGAGCCCAAAACAATATCCAGCCAATGTTGCTGTAAGCCCCGAACCCTGTTATCACCCTGAATCCAAAACCGTAAGCCCCTAAACCCTACACCCTGAACCCTAAACCCCTCCTTACCCTGGGGTTCTGGCCCAGTTTGTATCCACCGCGCCGCAGTCCTTGGGCTGGGAATGTAGGATTGTAGAGCTTCGGGCTTGGGGCTTAGGTTTTATGATACGGTGATGGGTTTTAAGGTTTTAGGGCTTACCGCTTGCAAGAAAAAAAGGGTGGAAGGTTCAGGGTTTTGGGCGTACGGCTTGGGATTGCTGCGCAGGGTGTAGGACTTGGATTTAGAATCGGTTTTCGCGCTGGGGCTGCTGCTTGGGTCAGGCTTGTTCAGTGTAGGGTCTTCGGGTGCACAGCCTCCGAGCCATCAACTTATCAAGATAATCTTGAAGGCTCAACAGTGCTAATGCTATTCATGAATAGCAGCGGTCACACACTACGGCAAACCGGCTCGCTAATTTTGGGGCCCGGGCAAACATGGGGTTTGGCGAAGCTGTTGGGGCTTGCAGCAGAGCTTAGAATGATAGAGCTTGAAATCTTGGTCTTGGACTGGCTGGGCTGGGGTATGCACAGTATTACAAAAATGCTATTGCTCAAAACTCATAAGCGGGACCATGCCTACTAGTGGTTCAAGTTTCTTTGCTGGCCTAACTTTCTGTGGGGAAGTGTTGCAGAGATGCATTCTCCAATCCTGGGGCGAGCTGCTAGCGCGCCTCTGACAAACATTCCCAGTATATATGTCATGTTAATTGCGAGGACTGTAGTAGTCCTCGCTTGAGTCCACACTTTTCAATGTGTGCTGTACGTGGACAGCAGGAGCTCACCCGGCGCTAACGCGGCTCAAACTCATGTGAACTACGTAGGAATGGTTGTGGAGATCTTTCTTTGTACATCTTCGTACTTTCATGACTCCAGAATGGTCATGGTTCCCAAGCATCACGCTGAGCTCTTTTCAAAGCCGCGAAAGCACGTTTAGCAGACTCACTATGTGTGCCCTGTGTCAGGCCTCATGTGGCAGGCTTACATGCTCGAGGAGTGCAATGTATAGAAGGCCGCGTACGCTTCTACACTGCTTTTATAAGGTCCCTCGAGCTTCTGCACACTGAACCAATGCAAACCCAACACCTTAAACCTCAGTCAGACGAACTTGAACTCCCAATGTTCTGCGACCTAAACATCTAAACCCCAACCCCTCAATCCCAATGTCTACAACATACGCACTGGTGTTGCTTACCGTTTTCACGAGTCCCAAGAATACTTGCACCTGATGCTCATGGCTACCACGGCCCCTTACTCCTGACGGCCCTGAGCCCTCTTCAACCCTACCGGACAACTAGACTGGGTGACTGGATTGCTGTTAAGGAACTTGAATTAACTTACTAAATTGGGGAAACCCTATTATTTACTATATATATACCCATTATGGTAACTTAATTTAAGTTCCTTAACAGCAACCCAGTTGATGCTTCATGCAGCTACCCGCCTCCAAGGGATCCATCTGTGTTCTTGAACCCATAGTATTGTTGAGGTCCCTATTGGGGTCCCCCTATTTAGGGAAACTACCATATAGGAAATCCTCAGAATGATCTGTATCTCACCTTTAAGTGGGGCCCCTATTGAATCCTCTATATCCCTAGGGTCCCCAAAGCAGCCACCCCAAATCCCCATGTCCCACAGAGACCCAGCCCACATTACAAATTTCTGGGCCCGCTGCAATCGAGAAGGCCTCACCGCTGGCCACTGCGGAGGTTACTTTGGCCACCTTCGAAACATTTCAGGAAGCTACCAACCCAAAGGGGTGCAAGTACCTGGGTTTAGGGTTTAGGACCTATATGGAGGCCTCTAAAACTATCACCCTAACCCCCTTCATTAAGGATGATTAGGCCTAATTAAGGTTGATCAAGGGGGAACCAAGGGGGGGGGTAGTATGGAGGAGCGTAATAACGGAACATGAAATTAGGAGCCAGGTCGCACGTGGAACGTGGGGGCAGGGGTCCACCAGAGACATGGACTCGCGGAGAGGGTTTGAGGGCAATAGTCCCTCGGCAATAAGCCATAGATAGCATGCGAATACGGATGTTTGCACAGACTTGCATCAAATTAATGGCAAAGCGGATGCCGAAAGGAAACCCATGCAGCAATTACGAATCTCAACATCCCATCCCGCAAGCAGTTTGGCCTATATGTGAAGAACAAGAGCCGTACACCGTAAAGCCGAAAGTCGAAGCAAGCCTCAGGCACCACACTGCAGGTCTTAAACTCAAAGCCCCAAATTCGTCTAAACCCTGAATAATGTGGTAGTTCCATTCCCTGCTTCGTTCCCCTATTTCCCCCGTATACAGCCCGGAAACTTCCACATCTCTTCGCCTTGGTATCGTTGCCGAGCATGATCTCCTGCCCCTCGCCTCGCAGGGTAAGAGTTTGGTACATATAGGAATGAGAAGCTATACGCACATATAAGGATGTGTAGGGTTGTGCAGCGAGTATATGGGGTTGAGAGGTTTCCACGGAAAGAACATGGAACACGAAATGGAAACTGGGGGGAATTTGAGTTTGCAGGGCTTAGGCAGGGTTTAAGCTTTTTGGAGTTTAGGCATGGTTCGGGGTTTAAGGCTTGCATGGGGTTCTCATGGCCTAGCGTATTGAAGTCTGATCACAAGCCGGGCTGCAATACTGTTCCGTGGAGGTTCCCTTCCCGAACATCTGCGCGTCGAAGCTCAGGTTAAGAGGACCAGAACATGTGCCTAGTTTAGACGCCTGAGTGAATACCAATATTATGGTCCTAAATTCCTTGTTCAAGTATGGTATGCGTTACCTCAATCGGACCTCAAGTTCTGCTGGTAATTGCTGAGGCTGCTGCATTGGTTTTGAAGTGTGACGACTTGAAACAAGTGGCTGCCATGCCGCAGCTTGCATACTCAAATTCTGACAAAAACCGCCCATATGGTAGTTTCCCTAAATTAGGGGACCCCAATATAGACCCCGATATACTATAGTCCTTATTATAGGGACCCCCAAAAGGGTACCCCTAATTTTGGGAAACTACCATAGAACCAGAACCCTGAACCCCATGTACAATCTGAAGCCATGTACTTCTCTGCGCATATGCTAAAACCGGATCCCTACATAGACGAAATGGAGTACGCCCGCACTGATCCCGATTAGTGTGTAGACACTATGCCCTCCACTACCCTATCTCCCTACACCCTGGGACATGGGAGAACATAGTAGACCTAAAGTCATGCAGCATGTTGTCTGCTGGCAGTATGGTTTAGGGTGTAGATTCTCTGTGATTGGGTGCCACAGCCCGAGTGCGGACCCCTGAAGTAATCTGGCTTCCAAAGGGCACTATACCTGAAACCTCAAAACCACCTAGCTTGAGGTTTAGCCTTCAGGGTTCAGCAGAATCCTAAGGAACCCAACATCCAAACATAGGCTTGGTAAGTCGTTCTGGTGTGCAGCTGTCAACATGGGACAGCAAATCCTATGGCTCATTGGCGCAAGAGGCATACCTAAGGAAAGGTTCACCGGTCCTGAATAGTGGGCCTCGCTACAATGCATTAGTTGATTACTGAAACCCTGAGCTTGAACCCTAAGTCAGGTCGAGCGATCCCAACACAAAAGTGACGAACCTAGACACCCAGTTACCTTCAAGCTCCTTAGTACGGAGGCGTACTAACTCAGCAAAGGACTAAGGGAGAGTAGCTCAATACGCAGGCAGAGAACTTCTCGGCGAGTTGCCAGTTTGGATAGTTCAACATGAGGGCTCGGATCACATGACAGCGATCTCCTGAGAATGATTGGAGCCAAGTAGTGTGCTATCAAGTTGACCCATTTCCCAACTTGCAAAAAAAGACCTGCATATTGCAACAGGGATCTACGAGTATAGGGGGGGGCCTACTATCAGCACGTCGCACGGAGATCCTCGCGTAGTCAAGATGAGCCTGCCTTACCGAGACTTACTGATATTAGGGTTATATTAGGGTTATATGGGGATAATGGCAAAGAAAATGGAAACAACTACTATAATGGGTTATATTAGTGACTTTGATGTAGTACAGGCATGCCTGGAAACTCGGATCCTTCGTCTTCCAAATTGCTATGATATTCTGGGGGGTGCTGGGAGTTGAAGGGCCTGCATTGCAAACGGGAAGAAGAGCAATGTCTTTGGCAGCGAAAATTTTGGCAAAGCATGTGATTGCGGGGCATAGTTTGCCAGACAGCCTAGATTGTAGAGCTGGTGCAGGGGCAATTTGAGCCAATTCTATGTCGACATTCCTTTCAGTCACCCCTGAGAACCCAAGATGGCTGAGGGCAGCAAGACATCAAGGACTAGTATAAAGTTAGTGAAAGGGAGTTTTCGAAGTGAAGAAAGCTAAATCCAGAATGCCTAAATTGCCCCGTGGCCCGCACGGACTCGCATATATACCCTATCATCCCTATATAACCCCAATATTATAGTAGTTTCCATTTTCTTTTCCATTATCCCTATATAACCCCAAAATTATCATGAGCACTGGCAACGTTTTCGTTTCAGTCAACGCTGTCTGCGTATGAGCATGAACTGCTCAGGCGTTACAGTCTGAGCCTATCACGCACATCTTTTGAAAAGGAAACAGTCTCTCTGGATTCCACAAAGTGCTTGCTCAAGGAAGTTCTTCCTTTCCAGCATTGCGGTAGCACTCCTGGCACGTCTCATGAGAAACATTGTACAGAACAAGATTTTTGTGAAACACCTCCAGCGCAGCTTCATATACGATCTCATCAATATCATCATGCCAAGCCATCAGCTCGGAGGTATTGTAATCGGTGTTCGCAGACTTTCCCGGAAAGGTAGGGCGTATATCCTGGAATTCCGAAAACACACATAGGCCGCCAAACATTTTGTGGAACAAGCAGATAGACAAGTCCCACTCCTCCGTGATGCCCACGAAGGCAAAGCCCTCCCGCACTCTCCGTGCCGCCTGCACGCCATCTGCTTGTGTCACTTTAGGGCGATTCGGCAGAACTGTGGGAATTCCATGGTCATCTTCTGTCACCAGCTGATACGTCATGCCTCCTTTCCACGCCTCCGCAAATTCCAGCAGGGGTACTTTTGGCAATGGCACTGCATCATCTAGCGGCTTGCACGGAAGAGTAGCGAACGCACCTGGTGGGGGTATTCAAAATCGAGGGCCGTCAGGGACCCCAGGAGCATGGAAGAAGAGTATAAGGAGCTGTGGGCAGATTGTTTGGGAGTACACAAGCGTCATGTTGACAAAACTCCCGCCTATGCCCGCGGCATCCAAGTGAAAGCGCCTGTCATCTGCAAATTTTTCCCCACCACCATGATATCCCGACACTATCCGCTGATCAGGATCTCGGAAGAATCCTGGGTTGTGCATTAAGGCCATTAAGGTATCGGGCTTAGTCTCCGAAATCCCTCTAGATCATTGGCAAGATTTCCACGCTTCGGACACTCTTGTATAACCCAAACTCAGCCCCAAGGCCCACCATGTGACCTTGCCGCTCCGAGTAGTTGCCAATCGGCGGGTGCGGAAGCAGTGTGCAAGACAACCTTAGCTGTCTCCGAGATTGTATAGTCAGAATGAGAGCATGAAACTTAGTGCCCAGAAGGGCGAAAGTCAACAAGGTAGTACAGCAGCAGTATCGTCGTCGTCGTCGTCGTCGT